CATAGCGATGACGGAAATACGGAGAAGTACAGGGAATCCGATGGCAGAAGCGTATCATGCTGTTATACTTAAGGCTAGGGATCACCTCACAATCCGGAATCCCTTCCCATGTTTCCCGTTCTAACTGATTTTTCACATTTCCCAGTTGAAACGCTGTAGATGGCGCGCGAATTTTCCCTGAAGTCCATTAAGCCCGTTGTCGACCGAGATTATTGGCGAAGTTCTGGTTGCAGTAAATGATCTACTTCAGGACAGAGTGTCCTCTATAGAGAGCACAATTTGTAAAATTTATCGCCTGCGCCTTTAGGCTGAAATATCAAAATCCACAGTGAGCTCCAACCCATAACCCACATCCGATAATGTGGAGTAATTTCCTGAACTATGAAGGTGGTCAGGAATTGAACCCTCGTTTCGTCCTTATCCGGGCCGCATGCTGCCACTACACCACCGAGACTACGCCTGCGCTAATACTCCCTTTCTTTCAGGTGAGGCGTTGCGGCTGTCAGCAGCTGAAGGGATTCGATTGGAGCGCGATAGCGATACCTATGCGTGCTCGTTTCAGTGTATATTCTTTGTGAGACCAGGAAAGGACTAGTGCCGCGTTCATCGTCCTGCAAAGCTTCCAACTCCTACAATATTCCAGTGGTCGAGAATTTTTCCTTAGTTCTTAATGAAAAACATAAGATATTTTATCATGATCTACAAATGTTTAATTCATCGGTGCGGTCCGTGTGATCTACAGCCAATCGATAGCGCAGCGGTAAATCTGCCCGCTGGTGGTCTCTTCAGGGGTGGATTTCGTCATCTTCATTGTCCTTCCGCCCCTCGACTTCTCTCTGATTCCTCTCCTTTACCAGTTTTCACGTCTTTTTTTATATTTTTTTTAATTATATGAATAAACTGAGCGAGAACCTGGAGCTAAACAGTCATTACTTTTAATTGATACCTTCTATTTCTCAAATTGTTTCGACTTCCGTTCCTTCTGAGAGTTTTTATGTTTATGAATTTTATTTCTTCGTTGACATGTGAATTCCACGACAAATTAATGTAAATACACTTATATCGGAAACTATGAACGAGAAATAAAAATAACTCATTCACCCTTTGAGAACGGCGGCTGATCACGACTGGCAGAGCGCAATTTTTTTATTCTACCGAAGTTTTTTCCATTTTAGGAAAATTTCTAGGTTTTTTTTCGCGTTTTTGTGATAATCCACTACATGCTCTACATGCCGTGCTTTTGGTGCATGTAAATCTCGCATTTGTAAAGGAAATTCCGAAGTTGAAAAGTACTTATCTTGATGGAGTGCTGTGCAGAAACATTTGCGTCAGCTGGAATTCGAACCCAGATCTCACTCTTTCCGGGAACGTATGCTAACCGTAGCACCACCGGCGCTCGTTTTGCACAGCACTCTTTTAACCCTCAAACGCGTAATTTTCTTTTTCCATTTACAGCGCTGTATAATGACCTTATTGGAAACTAAGCAATATTTTAGATTCACTATCGAATGTAGAGCTAGAGCTATCGAATAACCGTTGGAAGTCCAAAGAAAATTTATCCAGAGACTCCAGCCGACCAACCAAAGAGGATTCGGCATGAAGTATAATACTACTTTCGTTATCACGGCGCATCAAAAAAGTTTGCCCTAAGACAAAATATGTTTTTGAAATTGCCCTTTTTCCAGTGATAGAGAGGTTACCAAACCTTGGCTAACGGGTTTCTATGCGGTGGGAGAACTAAGGAAATACTCGTGCATTCCATGAAATGCACTCCGTATCCAAAGGGTGAAAAGAGTTGGAGGAAGGAAACGAAAGACATAGTGAGTTGATGGAGATATCGAAAAATTACCTGTACTTTCCTTCTTCCAAGCCTTATTTTTCCTTTCATAATTCTTGATAAAATTGTATTGTCAATATCCCACCCCAAGATGGGCTTAAATCAAGATATACGTCGAATTTCAATCTATTTTAGCAATATTTTAGCGATCACCGTTGAGAGGTCAGGTCGTTCCATGATTTCTGGCACAACAGTAACCACGAAATTTATTGCAAGGTTTAGGTGTCGTTCAGTTGCTCTTTTTTGTGAATATTTTAGCATATCGTCTGCTGTACTTGCTCTTAGATGGAGCTTTCATGGGAACAAATGCGATCGCTACTAGTGAACGAATGACGTGTACAGGAAAATGCTAGCGAAGCGGCACGCAAGATTAATGGAGCTTGGGGAGATGAGACAGTTACAGAAAGGGCGGCTTGGAAATAGACCATGACACTTAAAGCTGTAAAGAACAGTGTGAAGGATAAGTAGCTTTCAGGACGTCCTTCGTCGCAAGCTCCATTTAGTCTTGCCCTCCGCTTCTCTAGTATTTTTCCCTACGCGGCAATCGTGAATGAGTAGCAAGCGAATTTGATCCTAAGACAGCTCCATCTTGGAGCAAGTACAAACAAGTCGCATGCCAAAATGTCCGCAAAAAGATACGCAATTAACGGATGCCAAAATCACACAATTTCAATCAATTTTGGTCAAAAAATTTGGTCTTTACTACTCAGATACACCCTGATGCTTTTGTTTTCAGTATGTCCATTTGGTCTGAGGCTGATCGTCAAAAAACGCAACTTTCAAACGATGAAGAGATCAAGCCGTTGAACAATGAAGTTTTTGGAGCTGATATTTGTGAAGAGGCTGAAAGCGTCTTAACTTCTTCACAAGATATGATGATGGCAGGCGGCGGCGGTTTGATAGACCAGCTGTCAGAGATGGTGGTTAGCGACCGTCACCAGTCCGGTGAGCTAGATGACACTAGAAAGGTTTGCTCGTGATTTTTCAGCTTTTTCAAAGATTATTTTTTCAATGCAAAGCTATGAGCACGTGTGGCGCTGTGGTTAGAGATGTTTCGCTATACGCACTGTTCGATCAGTTGATGATCGATGGTTCGATCACGCATCCGAGGATTACTAAATTATCCATTCCTCCGTAGTCGGCAAATTGGTTTCGGACTTGTGCGAATGGAAAGCAGCATTGACTTGATACATCGATAGGCCACCTCAAGCCTTTGTAAAGGCCGCATTTGCATTTAATCACTTCTAATACTGCTACGGTTTAGTGAAATGCATGGCGCGTTCCTTACGAATTAATAAACGCCAAGAACTTCTATTTAATCAATCTTCTATTCTATATTTATCCGTCAAAGACGCGCTTTGCTGCAGCGAGACTGTAGCAAAGAAGATCCTTTCTTTACTGTTGTGTGGTTTGGTGTGAAGTGTATGGAAGAATCAGACAAAATTCTTCAAGTAGCAGTTGATGAAACTGTCAAGGACGACATGTTCGAACCCACTGCAAAACCTGGCCAGTTGACATCAGAGCAACTTCGTTGGGTACGGATAGGATGGGAAAGTAAATCTATCGTTGATCCTGTGCAGGTTCGTAAAGTTAAGGAATGAGGACACTTCAAATTATAATTGATTGTCTTGCACCCATCATTCTATGACTTCTCAGGAAAGCGATGAATCCGAATGGATTGGCACTGGGCTAGAGGACCATGACCACTGCTTTCGAAGTCCAAGCCAAAGTACAGCTCTTTTACGTGAAAAAGATCTGGCAGAGCACTCGAGTCGTCGGGCACCAAAACCAGCTCAGCAGCATGTGTAGTGTAGTGGTGATCCAATCAAAAAACTGTTTCCCGTACGATTTAATTGATATTTTATTGATCAAATAAAGTTCTTTGTATTTGACTGCATATAATGTGTGAAATATACCCATGATGCAGGGTGATATGCAAAACTTCCGTGTCAGGCGGGACTAGAACCCGCACCTCACTCTATAAGCGAACACTCGCTCTATCCGTTACACTCCTGACACCCATTTTGCACACCACTCTTCTTATGCTGCAGCACATCTATCTGTCAGCCGCCAGCAGTCAACGGCTTGGCCCGAGTAGTCAGTTTCGACATTGAGCGCTTTAGATAGATGCGTTGTAGCGTAGAAAGAGTGGTGTGCAAAATGGGCGTCAGTAGTGTAACGGATAGAGCACGTACTCGTGGATTGAGTGAGGCGCGACTTCTAGTCCCGCCTGACGCGACAGTTTTGCACATCACTCTGCGTCAATGTTTGTATTCAATTTTCCATACTTTGTACTTCTCCTTTACTAATAAGCTGCTTCAGAAGTTCTAGCATTGAAGCATTAGGCTCCTAATATATCAACCAGAAGTGGTTATAAACGCACGATTTTGGGGTATTTAAATTTCTTAGTCTCTTGCCAACATTTCGTATACAACTTGCCTGTGCTTACTCTGAGCTGTTTTGAGAACAAATTCGCTTGATACACTTACACGAATGGCGCTTATGAGAATATGCTTGTGAAGGGACGCACAAGATTAATGAGTTTTGTGGGGATGATACGGTTACAGAATGGTCGGCTAAGAAGTGATCCGCGAAGTTCGAAGCTGGAGAAAACAGTCTGGAGGATTGGTCGCGTTTAGGAAGTCCGCAGCAACTCCATGAATTTTGTGTGCGCCTCACTGGAACTTTTTACCACTCGCCATTCGAGCATGAGTAGCAAACGAATTTGTTTCCACAACAGCACCATCTCGGAGCAAATTTGTACAATTTGTATACCAGAATGTTCACAAGAAAATACTCAATCAAATGTTGTCAGAACAATGCAATTTTAGTCACTTCTGGAAATCATTTTGTTTGATCGCCACTTGCGATGGTGTGATGTTACAATATGTCCAATAATGTGGAGTGGTGTGCAAAAACGTTTGTGTCAGCTGGGATTCGAACCCACATCTCGCTATTTCCGGGCACTACCTACGCCCTTTCAGCACACCACTCTTTCAACGCTACGACGCGCTATCTGTCAACAGCCAACCGTCAACGCTCTGACGAGGTAGTCGTCATCGACATCGAACCAACTTATGTATCAGTCAGAAATCATTTCATTTGACTGCTACTTTCGGTGGTATGATGTTACAATATATCCAAGAAGTGGTGTGCAAAACGGGAGCATGTAGTGCAACGGTTCAGCACACGCTCCCGATATGAGTGAGATCTGGTTTCGAATCCCAGCTGGCGCGAGCGGCACGCCACTCTAAATTATTGGATAATTGTAATATAATTTCACCGCAAGTGGCGGTCAAACAAAATTTTCTGATTCATTATTGATACCAAATATCTGTCAATGTAAGTGCGTTCAATGTCGATGAAGATTACCCCGCCAGACCGTTGACGGTTGACTGTTGACAGATAGCGCGTTGTAGCGTGGAAAGAGTTGTGTGCAAAAGATTATTAAAGTTTCACTTCTGTATGGCGTGATCTTAGCCTTATTAACTTTTCGGAGCAACATTTGTACCAGAGTCTTCTTTGAAAGCTCTCATTTGATTTAATTTATGATCTAAATCGCCTTGTTCGTCACCGTCGCAACGCATGCTGCTTCTTGAAGGCTGATGACAATCATCATAGGCATCGTTTTGCCGTACATGCCAAATTTCCAAAATTCATGCCTAATATAAATAATCCTTTATGGTCGGCAGCATAATCGTTATTTCCAGTGGCGCGCAATTTCCGTTCTTCAAAAAGATATTTTCTTTGTTTCGGGGGTTACTTCAGGTTTTTTTTTAATCGTTTGGTAGCTCATGAGTTTCTCTACAAGTTTCTGCACTTTTTGTGCGTACATAAAGGATAAAAGGATAAAGCTCTCGGCGTTGATCAATCCCTGAGGGATGCGCCATGCATTCGACTTCAATTTCTAACTTCGTTTGAGGTGATTGAATGCACATCTGGCCTTTACAATGACTCGCGGTGGCCTGCCGCTGAACCGAGTCCGTGCTGCTTATCCTCCCAGACAAGCCTGAGACCTGTCTGGTACCAATTTACCGACCCCGGAGGGATGGATGGCTTGGTGAGCCATGAGCGCGAGATCGAACCAGTGACCTCGTGTGCGACGCAGGGCACCTCTAACCACTGCGCCACATGCGCTCCTTGTGCGTACATAACACCTATAATATACATTAAAAACGCGTAGTACTTTCAGTGAATAGAACTTGAAGTGTCGAGAAGTTGACCAACTCGTAGAAACGACATTTCTGATTAGTTCAACGAGTATGCTCAACTCTTTTGAAGCGTACTCGAACTTCAAGCTTGATTCTAATGAGGGTTTTCGCAACGATAAAATGGTCCATATCATAATTGCATGAATCTTCTGATTTGAAAATCTTTTGATTCAAGTGAGTTTATTCAACCCTTTGTAGATCGCACATGGCATTGCTGCGCGCAGCACGATTCGCAAGCCACGCGTGATCTCGTTATTCGTTTAGTACTCCTTTTCCATTTCGAAGTAATTTTTAGATTTCGCCTACTAGTTTGATGCCACATGATCTCCTATGTACCTTCCAACATTTATGTTTTATGAGACGTCTATGTGTGTGAAAAAGCCCTCATCCACTATATAATCACAATGCAATACCCTTACGGCCAAGGCTGGTTTGAAAGTATGCGCATTGTTTTTTACTGAAAAACTTTGTAGGAGTCTTCTCGGTAATAATTCGTCTTTTTCTGATATCACAGTACTCCAAAGATCCGAACCTTTCTACAATGATTGCCAGTAAACCGTTTTCAAGTTCAAGCCATAAGGTATAACATCGAAGAGGAAACGTGATCTTTTTTGTTGTTATAGCCAACTGAGAAGGTCTTCCAGAGAGCAAGCCTGTGTTAGAAGCGCCGTTTATTGAACTATCGAATGAACACAAAAAGTCGGACGACAGCTTCGTGTCGACTTTGTGAATCTTTGAAAGATTAGTGTGTGACTTACTGAGCGCCTTTGGTTCCCGAAGGGTTAACGTGCACGTAACCGCCAATGATTTTGCACAGGCACAGGCTAGAAAAACAGTAGAACTATCGTTCATGAATTATACGCGGCAACATGGTTTTTTCGAAAATAAATTGTATTTTCTCGATACCTAAAGAGCTTATGGGATTGACAAAATCAAAAGTTATGGACCAAGCCTTGCTTTACTCATGAAGGTTCGCAAATTTTCTACTATAGCCCTTTGCAAACAGCGCCATCTTCGGCTGGCGCGCGGTTCGGACGGCTACGAAGAGAGTCTGCCGGCCGGCGCACTCCCTAATGATAGCGTGATAGTTTTCTAATTAAATTTATACTTTTCTTCGTCAATAAATGTAATTCCTGTGAAAGCAGGTGGTTATATATGTTAGAGCAGACTCTAATAAGGTAACTTTTGATAGGAAATAACGCAATTGTTCCATTCACAATCCACACTTCATAAGGGAAAACCGAGCATTTAGAAAAAGCTCATTTAGAACCTTTATCAAATATTTCTATTGTATTTCATTTATACTTACCGACAAATCAAATCTTCTTCTATTCCTTTCCGTTTCCATGCCGCACTTTGATAATAATGTTTCTCCGAGAACCCGATATTCCACTGCCGGCACGCACCACTCTTCAGTAACCGTCCGAACGGCGCCGAGCTGAGGGTTCATAATGACCTCTCATCGTCCGCAAAGGAATGAGCAACATTTTATTATATTCCACTTCCCATATGTGTGTTCTACGCGATTGATTGTAGTTCTATAATACGTACAATGGATTTCGATAAGCAGAAGACTTTCGGTGTTGACAACTTCACGCAGTCGTAAAGGAAACTCTGCTCCATCACAAAAAAGTATTGTCCTAGGCTGCGACTTTCATTTTGGGTTTTTTTTTTCAAATACGACGTATACGACGTAAACAATTATGTCTTCCTCACGACCGAAAAGAAAACTCCGAGTTATACCGCGAAACATCCTTAGGCCTTGAGCTTTAGTTCCATGATTAAGCTCATTTTAATCTGATACGTATTTACTGCGAAGTGAACCGGCTGTAGATACGTACAAAAGTCTTTGATCACCTCTCTTGACCGCTCTAAGTGTTCCGTCTTAACCGGAACCTCTATATTGATTCTATTGCATGTACTGCTTATGATAAATCCCCTTTATCGCTCTGATGTAATTTACCTGACCAAAAATTATTTGATGTTACGATCACGAATCATGTCAGTCGACGACGACTTTCCACATAATCATACTCGACTCACTTCTCATCCAGCTATTCCTGAAGATTCGCAGATATGGGGCGGTAACGTAGAACCTGCTGTGTATCCTTTTGGAGAGTCTAAAGATAATGAAGCGAGGAGAGCGCGTGAAAGTGTTAATGATGAACTCAGTGGTTGATTGCCTTATGGATAAATCATCTTCGCTCTGGTGTTCATAGACTTTTGTATCGGAGCAAGTAACTTACACATTCCACTTGTAGCAAATATTGGCTCGTTGACTGCTGAGTGACTCAAACAGGCACTAGTAAAATCTCCGTTTCTCCCCCATCGTATGCAAAAAAAGCTCAAATTGTAAGAATTTGTTGAGCATCATATCTTCTTTCCAGGCTATTCAAGAAATCAAAACTATCGGGTCGTGACCTTTCTGTGGAGCGCTTGAAATCCCAAGGAATCAAGTCGATGACTGCTTTCGTCCATCGATTATCATCAAAGCGCATCACCTGTGCGGCCCATTTAAACCTCGATAGCCTGGTGTGGTCGAACGGCATCTTTAATCTTGGATTGTAAACCGAAAAGCGATTGAAATTCACAATCACAGAAGACTCCTCGTAGACAAACTGATAACAAACATTTCCGGAAAGCCCTTGGAGGCTATATAATTAACGTAGTCCTTCTGACTGACATCACGACGGACCTATCCTTGTGTCACACTGGATCTGGGAGTGCCTACTTCATTTTTCACTTTTGTTAAAGAAAGCGACAAAAGGAGTTTAACTGTGAAGGAGGTGGATGTCACAAGGATACCACAGCGGAGTACCATTGGGATACGTTACCGAACGTTCCACATTGGTTAGGACAAGATGCAGCCACTGTAGGAAATATCGATCTTTAGAACACTTAAATTAGCACCATACAAACTGCTCATCAGCGTTACGCAATTACGTGGCAGGTTTGACGATCTCCACATATTTTTTCAGTCTTATGTGAAAATTGTTGACTATGAGTTGATAGTAATTATTTGTCGCACACAGATATCAATGAAAATGTTTTCCGAATGCCGTAAAGTCGAACAAGAAAGTGATTTTCTTTCAAGATGGTAATTATATAACAGCACAACAAGAAGTTGGAACGAATTATAGAACGAGAAAGAATTGTTCAGGTGGAACGAAGCCATTGAAGAGTCACATACAACGGTCAAAAATACGTTTTTCAAAGTGATGACTTCAAATAAACTTCGGCTCAACATCTACAAATTCAATTGTCATAGCATACACAAAATTGACATTTTACATAACAACTGATAAACAACAAGTGCCGTAGGACGCATCCATCATTACGATTGACAACGATTCCTAACAAATAATGTACGCTCAAATTATGGATCGTCCCATGATTTCCTTCGCATTTCGGCAGGTTTGTTGATTCAGTTGTCATTTGTCTCAAGAAGTCAATTAAGCAGCAGTATAATCTTCATCACGATCAATGATATGCAACCATTTACCGCGCAATGATTGGAATATTCTCTCGGAAAGATGAGGATGGCGACAAAAGAATCGGTGAGGTCACTATTGAGCTGGTAGCAGTCTCTGAATTTCTCCTTCCTCAATCGCTGCTTTAGGGCTCGGAAGAGATGATAATCTGATGTAGCAATATCAGGGCTATACGGTGAATGTGTACTGTGATCTAGTTCAGTTTCTCTAAAATGCGGTGAGTCGACTTTTCAACGTGAGATAGTCGGTCGATGCATGAGGTACCCAACGAGACATCACATCTCGGTAGCCTATTCTCATATAGATGGCGAGCGATGGTGCCAGAGCTGTATCCGAGGCTCTGCCCAAGATACTAAAACATTCTCCAACATACCATAGCTTTTTGTTATGAACCCGATTTAAACTAAAAACAACTGATAAAGCAACAGCGCGAAAGAAATTATGGGACAATCCAGTACATAAAAAACTCCTTGTTAGACGTTCAAGAAAGAAAAATTCGCAATTACAAAAGGCGAATAACAGTCAGCTTGAAAT